CCTGTCTTTTTCTTTGTCAAAATTGCAAACATAACTTGTCATAAATCTGTCATAAACATGATTGTCATAAGGCCATTATAATTGTCATGAATTGTATAGCCGCATCATTGAAAATCAAATTGGTTTTGTCAATAAAATGCCATTAATGTCATTAAAAATGTTAATGACACAATCAAAAATTGTATGACATTACATATACCACAATTGGGTTATCGGATTACCACTCTTCATTGTTCATGTATCTATGTTTGTACTTAGTGAACAGTGGGAAATTAACATTTTTAATATTTCAGTATCGATTTGTTCTGATGTCTATAATTTTGAAATCCCTTAATACAGATACACGGACACTGGAACATTTGAAAGCCACATCTATCAGTTGATCTATCAATGAGCACATATATAAGTGGTACTCTTGCTGGAAATGGACATTTGTCAACTTCAGTATCGATAGTTACTTAAGTCGATACTTTTGACAAACCTTGTTTCATGGCAGCCCATAAAGACCACTGTAAACTAGAAGTATACAAGTGTGTTACAAACCTGTGTATTAGGGCTGCACAATATGAGTGAATCTGCAATAGTCACATCGCAGGATCTGCAATGTCAAATTGGGATTATAGTTACCAGCCACCAAAGTTCAGAAAAGAAAAAAACAAGTTTAACCCTAATAGAGTGAAAGATTTTCATTTGGATGTGTGTTAAGACCTTTTTGACTGTGTTATTTTTCAAGCAAACTTAATAATAAGTTATAGTAGAATAAGTATAAATATAATAAAAAATAAGTTATAAAGTTCGAAGCTTTAACAAAGATTAATTGTGTTAATTATAAACTATACAGTGTTATTTTACATATGATTATTCAATTTCTGTACCTGGATACTGTTCGATTTCACAGAAAGCCATTAAAGCATGTTTTTTTTTTTATCTGCATCTGTTCAGTTGTATTAATCTTTGCAACCCAAGCTCATTCTGGAAACGTAGCCCCGCGGACGTTTCTGGAGAACGCGATTTACGTGGCCGGAGGTACGTAAAGGCCGCGTTTGTTTTTTTTCGAGCGAACGCCACGGGGCGGTGTGGCGCCGCTTCGCCCCTCCTCTTCGCGCTCGCCGGCCGACGAGGGGTCATGGTCTTTAGTGGTCATGGTGGACGACGACCAGGATCGAGTCCGGGGAACGGCGGGTTCGGGAAATCAGGTAAGACGAAAAACGGAATCCGGAAAATAAGGGCGAGAACGCGGCGGGATTCGAAAACGTGGTCGAAATTGAAGATGGGGGCTTTTGCTTTTTTTTTTTTTTTTTCTCGATCCGGCGACTATTCGCGCGAGAACGCGAGACGCGAAAAAGCGCGCACAGCGGCCTCTCGCGGATCGGCGAAAACAAAAAAACGCTCGAATACGTATCTCCCGGGACATAAATCGCGGTCCGCAGAAACGTCCGTGGGGCTACGTTTCCACAATGAGCCCGGGTTGAATCTTTGTTTATTAAATTTGATGCAGATGCTCTCCTACAAAATCCCAATTAATCTTTCCAAGTAGAGTTATAAGTTGTCTTTTATTCATTAATTTTCCTTTAGCTTAGTCCCTTATTTATCAGGGTCGCCACAGCGGAATGAACCACCAACTATTCCGGCATATGTTTTACATAGTGGATGCTCTTTTAGTTGCAACCAAGTACTGGGAAACACCCATACACTCTTACTTAGGGCTTACATTGAGCCACTAAGCAGTGTTCTTATGACGTTTTTCTACAGGAGGAAAACGCAAATAACGTCCAAACACTTCAGATAGAGTCTGTGTTAGTGAATGCAAGGCTGTTGATGAAATCCAGCATAACACTGTATGAAAACGCATCAGATGACTGTTCTAGAGCCTACAGCTTATCAATAAGTCAGATTTGGGAGTGCATTACAGCTCTAAAGAAAAATATAAAAGATAAATTATCTGAAATAAAACAAATACATTTATAGAGATGGTGTATAAGAATGTAAGTTTATTCACATGGGAAATGGAGCCCACGTGAATGGTTTCCGAGGACAATTAAGTGCACACAGCATCCCATATCATCTGATAATTGTAAGAAATAAGTCCAAAAGGCAACTGACTGTGTAAAGCCACATAAAACAAAACAAAAATACGATGAGTATTCCGAGTTCAGCAGCTAATCAGCCGGAGTCAGCTGAAGTGACGGCGACCAGCGAGACCTAGCTGTCACTCAAGTGGCCACGCCCTTAGTTATGCAAACTTAATATAACCTAATATAAAGGAAACGGATGAGTTATAAAAACATTCACCCCCCTCACAGTTGTCATGAAGGGTAGTATTAGCTATATGAACCACAATCGTTCTTTGTACCAGGCTGTAAACAGCTTTTTTTCTGCTGTAAAGTTGGCCATTCTAACAGTGGGCTCAATTGAAATTTGCTCTATTATGAAGCCAGAACTAGCAGAATTTCGATGAATTGGAGTTTCAGTTACTTCCATATTGGCTTCCTGAGGGAGAGCGGGAGGTTGCTGCTTGGTTTTGACACATTAAAGCAGTAGTTCTCAACTGGTTTGGCCATGGGACCCACATTTTTACATGGTCATCAAGCTACGACCCAAATTTTTATAGGAACTATAATACATATTTTAGGAATTATGATTCATTTGTATTTTTTTGATAACATACACAGGTAGCGGCAGACTGTCAGGGTTGGTGAGGGGAAAGGAGCAAGGACTCAAGTGCAGGAAAATGGGGAATTTATTAAATTATAAACATAAAATAAAATGCAAAATAAACTACCCCGAGGGGGAAAACATTAACAAAACAAATACATACACATACAAACAGGACTGGGCAGACTGGCAAGGATGAGGACTGGAAACACAACAGGACAAGACTTCATACAACGACATGTGATGACGACACATGGCACAGGACAGCAAATGTGAGGGGTTTATAAACTGTAGAAAATTAACACAAACAGGTGAACACAATTAACTAATAATGGGTTAACAAGGAGGGTGGGATTGACAATAGATGGGAGAGCGCATGACACAGAGAGACAACACAAGCCATGCGCTCACATAAAACAGGACAAGAACATGCAGCCAATGAGAGAACTCATTAACCGCTTGTTCATGACAAGACAAGCACAACACTGAAACACACGACAAAAGCATTTGACCACAATGTAAACATCGAGCCACGTGCTTTGACAAGAGACGCAAGACACGATAGATAAACACCTTACTGTGCGCTCACACATAAGCAACGCGCATGCTTCATCTCAGCGCCAACCAAAACTGAATAAAGCAGCGCGATGCTGACAGAACAAACACAAACACTAGTACAAGAGCGCGCCCACGACGGCGTGCGCGCACACAGAGACAGAAACAGGACCAGACATGGGTAGTGTCAGAGCTCTGCCACCAAAACAAGAATTTACCAGACCAGAGTGGCAGAACCCTGACACAGATAAATCATAAGAAAATCACCAAGACTTACTAATAAACAATATTTTACTGCTGTCATTTAACAAAATGTATCAAATTACAGAAATATTACACAGTAAAAATGTCAAATACTGTAAACAGTGGTTAGGGTGAGGAAAAGTTAAGTTACCATTAACTAAACTGAACTATTTCTAAAACATTAACACTGATCCGGTTGAACTGAACAAACCAGAAAATTTAAGTAAAATGATTAAAGTAATCATAACCATTTTTATAATAATCACCAGTTATTTGTTCTTCTGCTTTTGTGTGGGCTTCCTTGGCCTTGGCTACACGGTGAGCACAGTAAGATGCACAGAGTGCCTGTACTTGTTTTGACCATGAAGATGTTAGGCACTTTTGGGATGACCTCAGCTATTGGAGTCGTCTTTGAAAATAGTCCACAGGTTTGTCCTTGCAAATGGGATGTTTGGTTTCTAAATGTCGTTTTAATTTAGAAGGTTTCATGCTCTCTTGTGAGAGCTCCTCACTACATATGACACACTGAGGTTTTAAGCCTTTTTTGTCATCAGTATATGTAAATCCACACTTTACATATTCGGGGTTGTACTTGCACTGAAATTACACTGTCAACAGTGCGGTTGTCGCACGCCCATTTCAAAATAAAAGTCCAATATAAGCAAAATAAGATAAAATTTAACTTTAGATCACACACTCCGCGACCCACTGATAACGTTCCCGCGACCCACTTTCGGGTCACGACCCACCAGTTGAGAAACACTGCATTAAAGTATGTTGCTACGAAATAACTACATAGGATTTTTTTTTTTTTTTTTTTTTTTTTGTGTGTGTGGCCCAATCGGGCCATTAGAAATAATCATTAGTGGTTAGACCTGTATATGTCTAAAATATAATTCATAATGGTTTTTAAAGGGCCTTTAAAAAGTCTTAAATTTGACTTGATGTAACCTGCAGAACCCCCTTGTTGTGAAACCGGAGCACCCAGAGGAAACCCACACCAACACAGGGAGAACATGCAAACTCCACATGAAAATGCCAACTGACCCAGCCTGGTCTCAAACCAGTGAACTTCTTGCTGTGAGGCAACAGTGCTAACTACTGAGCCGAGCCACTGTGCCGGCTATATAAGTTGTCTTGTGAAGTGATATTCAAATCATTATATTTATCGAAGACATAACAAATATTACCATGTCAGTTTTCTCCAATACCGCACAGCCCTGCTGTGTAGGTTTGTCCAGGAAGCAATACTAGAATTACTTAAGATTCGTTTCAGGCAGTTCAGACTCACGTCTTTCTTCTGGAAGAAAATGACTCCATTTATCTGCACTTAAACTCTATTTATCTGCACTTTGATCTTTGAAACGTTCCCTTCACAAACAGCTGCATCACACACTCCATAAAAGGTATCATCTATAAAAAAAAAACAACATAAAAAGGGACACTAACACACATTTAACCCTCACGGCCTTGATTTTTTTATTCGCATCAAGTGAGTCAACTTGTCAATTGTGTCTGTTCTTTTCAATCTCCTCTGTCTTTTACAGATGCAAGATAGACGAGGAGGTCACTCACAAGGCGTGGTTGAACCGCTCCAACATCTTATTTACGGGCACAGATAAGTGGTCTCTGGACTCCCGCGTCTCTCTGGAGAACAACAACAACAGCGACTTCTCCATTAGGATTGAGAGAGTGATGGTGGCGGACGAGGGACCCTACACATGCAGCTTCCAGGCCAGAAACAAGCCCCGGACGGCCCACGTCTATCTTATTGTTCAGGGTATGTTCATCTGAGGCTGCATGTACACATTGCGCGAATTATACATTAAACATCAGTCAATATTATAGTTATATAATAGTTGTATGTATGTATGTATATATATATATATCAGGGCTCGAAATTGCGACCATTTTGGTCGCATATGCGCCCGAAATCTTATCTATGCAACCTTAAAATATATTTGGGAGCATTTGTGCGAGTGCTTAAAATTGTTGTGTGTGATCAGTTTTTGCTGCAAAATGTTCACCACTTGTGCGGATTTGGGAGACATTCACGCAGAATGCATCTTTAAGCTCTTTGTCTTCACTTGAAACGCGAAACGCAGCGCTCAGGAATGGTTTAAAACAGTTGTCATGTCAACTTGCTGCAGTAAACAAAGCCAAGTCCGTCATGCTTGCCCCGCCTTCGCGCTCTTCTTATTGGCCCACCACTGCTCTAGCACTGAATGATTGGTTAATCTCAGCTATCAACCCCTCAGTGCTTTCTGGCTTGGGATGACAGAGAGCTACTGCCGCGAAAAACTGTAAAGCGCTGAAGGTGAGAATGAAGATAACATAACACTGACAGATTTTGTTTTAGAAACTATGGCATCTACAATTACAAATAATGACACATCTTACTAGTGACCATGTGCTGAATGTTAATCCACCATCTACACTTTTCCAAGAGTAGAAGTCTTCCATTGGCTTCAAGTCCGCTACGAAAAGTCTGTGGTATGGAATTTTCAGGTAACTGTTTGCCACATCTAGCACGCGAGCTTCTGTTTAATGCTTCATATAATCGCCAGATGCTGTCCGCCGTGCAAGGGGCAGCTATATGTCAAATTTAACACCATGTACACCATCACAAACGGGCTTACACTGACTAAACTATTAACGCTACTCATAAAAAGACCGATATTGCTATTAAGATGTATGCATATAATAAGGTACAGTATATGTCAAAAGCATCAGTGCAATATCAGACAGCACTTGTGAGAACAGCACAGTTATACCGTTAACAGATTCGTTCCAGCACTGCGTGAATGGCGGGTGAGCGCTGCGTGTATCTTTTGTCACTCAGTTATGTTATAAAAATCTATTTTCTTTTGATAACGGGATTTCATTGAGACAAATTTTTCTCACGCTTGCATATATATATATATATATTATATATGAATTTTTTTTGCTTGTTAGTTTGATTACTGTTGATTTCAAATGCAATAAATATGTTTGTATAACACTTGTATTAACGGTGCTCATAATTGGTGGGTGCGACAAAATTTTGGCTGATGCGCCTAAATTTTTAAAGTTAGGAGCACCGGTGCTACCAAGCAAAAAGGTTAATTTCGAGCCCTGTATATATATATATATATATATATATATATATATATATATATATATATATATACGGCTTACTCTATATATATATATATATATATATACATATATACATATACATATATATATATATATATATATATATATATATATATATATATATATATATATATATATATATATATATACAACTATTAAAACGCTGAGAATAAGCCGAAGGAAAGGGAAAGTGATAAACTCTTTTTAGCAATGTATGATATTTTTTTTTCAGGATTGTTTTACACATCAGATGCCCTTCCAGGCACAATCCAGTACCAGGCAATACCCATACACACTCTCATTCACATGCACACACTCATACGGCCATTTAAGTTAATCCAATTCACCTATACCGCATGCCTTTAGACTGTGGGAGAAACAGGATCACCCAGAGGAAACCCACATCAACACGGGGAGAACATGCAAACTCCACACAAAAATGCCAACTGGGCCAGGCGAGACTCCAACGAGCGACCCTCTTGCTGTGAGGCGACAGTTCTAACCACTGAGCCACCGTACCACCATTGAAAAAGACATGTTTTGCAATAAAACAAATGCATATGATCATTTACATTCTCACACTTCCTTCGTTGTCAGTGGTGAGGATTGGAGGGGTGTTGACACAGATGTGGTGAGGATCAGAGGGGTGTTTCTGCTCACTGATCCTCCAGTAACTCTGCAGGCAGAGCGAGGGCCGATCCGTCTGTCACATCAACAGCTGCATGAGTAAGAGCTCCTGTGATCCCGACTGATGTGATTTATTGGCATCAGACCTCGGCGCTGATGGATTACTAGCGTTCCTCCTTTTACTGCAACCCCGACCCAACCCTGCCGGCTCAAAGTTGTCAATTGTTATGTATATCATGCCACGCGCCGTCCATTTTCCTGTTGCACAAGATTGAAAATATCAAAGTGAAATAGGGCGCAGTGATATTGGAACACACTGACATTGAGATGTTTGGGGTTTTCTGAGATATACAGTTAAAGGCAGCATTATTTAATCTCTTAATGGCTTTCAAATATTATCCAATTGCTGTTCAATGAATTAAGGGTATTTTCACAGTATTTCCTATGGTTTGTATGGATCACAACCCACAGTTCGGAACACATGACATGTGGATTAATATATATTTTTTACTTGTAGATCAATCCTAAATTTGCAACGATTGCGTCATTTAAATCACATGTACGAAAGCATTTAGGCTTTTTTGTAAAATATGTTGATTTTGGGGGGTGAGGCAGTGGCGCAGTAGGTAGTGCTGTCGCCTCACAGCAAGAAGGTAGCTGGTTCGATCCTCAGCTCAGTTGGTGTATCTGTGTGGAGTTTGCATGTTCTCCCTGCGTTCGCGTGGGTTTCCTCCGGGTGTTTCGGTTTGCCCCACAGTCCAAAGACATGCAGTACAGGTGAATTGGGTAGGCTAAATTGTCAGTAGTATATGTGTGTGTGAATGAGTGTGTGTGGATGTTTCCCAGAGATGGGTTGCGGCATCCGCTGCATAAAAACGTGCTGGGTAAGTTGGCGGTTCATTCCGCTGTGGCGACCCCGGATTAATAAAGGGACTAAGCCGACAAGAAAATGAATGAATGAATAATGATTTTGAGATGTTGCATCCTTTCCGTCCTTCACCTTTTTAATGGTCAAGGGTAAACGAAAAGGAAAACATTAGGCCAGCTGTAATTATTGCTGCCATTTACAATAGATGAGGAACAACAAGACACAAAAGAGCTATTTAAGTGCACTTGTTTATTATAAACAAGCTGTGTATTTTTAAATGTTTATGGGAAAACTAAAGTTTCACACAAAAGTAGTTTGAAATAAGACAACGATTGCACAAAAAACAATTAACCAAATTTAACAGACAGAAGGAGGACAATGGAAATGCACTGTGCCAAACAAAAGAAAAGAATTAAAAAAATCTACTAACTAACCCATTAAACTCCTTTTCTAGAACTACAAAATGAAAAATAAAGGAAGCCTTCAACGTCGTATCTTACCTGGGGTCTGTTCTTCGTAGCTCGCTTAATTGATCTAAGGTTATTTATTTAGTTTAGTTTAGTTTAGTTTAGTTTATTTGTTTACAGGGTCAATGCACATTAATAAAAATTACTGTAAAATGTGCCAGAATTAGCCAAGAATGGCTATTTTTCATCCGTAGACCCCTTACAGAATGTTAAAAAGTCACACCTAAAATAGAAGCACAACATTATACATTAAATACACTTTCACATAAAAAATACAGTTAAAAAAGTAAAGAAAAGAAAAAAAGAAAAGAAAAGAAAAAACACAAGAACAGACTGATGGCAGCAGAGGACAAAAAGCCACAGACAACAGTACAAATGTGTCAAGAATACAGTACAGGTTGCTGACCTCCGTGAAGTTGGCACCCCATAAAACAAATAATCCCCAAAACTATGCCATTCGTTTGTGCTACGTTTGTGCTGATTTGTGCCGCAAAAACGAACGTTTGTGCTGGTTTGGGGTCTGAGATATTAAGCATTATTTTTTAACCGTGTGACGTCACTATCCACCCCATGTTGCGCAATTGACTTCAAAACAGCACAGGTCGTTTGTGCTCGGTTTGTGCTGGTTTGTGCCGTTAAAACGAACACGGTATCTGTTTTCCTCTTTTAGATATAAGCAAAATATTTCGGGAGCCGTGGCGTCACTCTCCACCCCATTTCCTCCAAATCGCACAAAACTGGTATCATTCGTTTGTGCTGGGTTTGTGCTGGTTTGTGCCGTTAAAATAAACACTTTATCTATTTTCGTTGTTTAGATATAATCAAAATATTTCGGGAGCCGTGACGTCATTCTCCACCCCATATTGTCTAAATCACACCAAATGATCTTATTCGTTTGTGCTCGGTTTGTGCTGGTTTGTGCCGTTAAAATAAAGACTTTATCTATTTTTATTGTTTAGATATTGCCTTATCAAAACATTTCGGGAGCCGTGACGTCACTCTCCACCCCAGGTTGGCTAAATTGCACAGAACAGGTGTCATATGTTAGTGCTGGATTTGTGCTGGTTTGTGCCGTTAAAATAAACACTTTATCTATGTTTATTGATTAGATATTGACTAATTAAAACATTTCGGGAGCCGCGACGTCACTCAGCGCCCCATATTTCCTCTAAATTGCACAAAACAGGTGTCATATGTTAGTGCTGGATTTGTGCTGGTTTGTGCCGTAACAATTAACACTTTATCCATGTTTATTGATTAGATATTGACTAATTAAAACATTTCGGGAGCCGCGACGTCACTCAGCGCCCCATTTCCTCTAAAATGCACAAAACAGGTGACATTCTTTAGTGCTGGATTTGTGCTGGTTTATGCAATTAAAATAAACACTTTATCTGTTTGTATTTGTGACTGGCACTGGTGAGGTGGTGGGACCCTTTAATGGTTTGTGGTGATTTGTGTATATTTTTGGAGTGCTGTGGTTGCTGTAGTGTGATTGCTGTGCTACTGGGAGTTAAGAGCTTCTCATCTGTTGCATCTTCTCACACTTCGTCCTGCCCCGTTGTAGGCCTGAGGTTTGCCCTGAATGTGTTGTTATTTTGTGTTGCTTACTTTAGCATTCTCTTTTTTAAATTGAAATTGCCCCATTTATGCAATGTTTTAACGAGTAACTGGTTTTGT